ATGGCGGGGGTGGGGGTGGGGGAAGCAGCAGCATGGAACCTGGGCAAAGGGGGAGCTCGGGCAGGTGGCCATCCCTCCCCACCGCCTCTCCCCTCCTACCTTTGCTCAGGTGGGAAAGGTCCTCCTGTTCCAGGTTTTTAGACAGTTCTGAGCTGTAATAGTTGAGCGTGTAGCCTACACCAAAAACAATTGGATAGTTTGTTTTGTGAACCCCTAAGTGACCCTTTGCCCATAGGTCTGCAGAAACATGCCAGGCAACAAGGGTTCCTAATTAAAAAGGAGGGTGTTGGCCCACTTGGGGAAGCGGCTGTATTAAACCTGCATTCTACACAGCAGCACCCTGGCAGCCTGCTTACAGGAAGAGAAGATAGAAGTGGAAGTCCGCTCCTCGCTCAGGCTTCAATACAGCAAACTCACGTCTTGCCAACACCAATTTCCTCCTCCCCCCCCCCACCCGGTGCCCCTCATTTTCTCTCTGAGCCCAGAAGAGACGAGCTGTCCTGGCATCGGCATGTGCCTGGCAGAGACGCTTCGTTTTGCCTGGCCGGAGGCAGAGAACCCCAGTCACCCAGGGCCATTGGCCCGGTTCCCAGGCGGCCCTCTGTGGCTTCTGGGGAGCGAGGGGGCAAAGGGCTTGTCCTCCTCTTAGCCTTTGAGGGGGGACAAACTAGCAGAGGAATCTCCCGGCCGAGTGTCTCTGACCAGTGGCACCATTCAGCGGAGAGGAGGGGAGTCTGGAAAGCTGACCAGGCCCCTTGGGAGTCATTCTGGCAAAGCCACGAGGACGGAAACTGACAGTAAGAATTGCTTTGCCGGCTTGCTGTGTTACTAAAGCAGAAGGGAAAGGAAATTGCAAGGGGTGCCTGGTCCTGCACCAAACCTTGTGAATCCATAAAGCTTTGTGATTCCCCATCTCGCCTCAGTTTCTTTGTTGAGCAAATTGGGAGCGATTCTCTCCCTTCTGAAAGGAGCTTGGAGACGACCTCTCCTTTTCAGCCTGGTCATTCTGGGGGCTGCGACAATCTACGGAAAGGCCGATGCCAACACGACTGCCCAATGACCCACTTCCAATCTGCAGCTCTGTTTGCTGCAACACCTGTGCTACGCTCTTCCTCTGTGGCACGTGCCCTCCCCAGCCACCTCTTGGCTTTCCCTCCAGGCACCGTTTAGAAGCTGCTCTGCCACCCTCGGGGGACGTGGTCCCAATACAGCTCTTTCTGCTCCCTGGACCCATCCCCTCCCGGCCTCATCCCTGCCTGTCCAGCAGTCCCTCAGTCCACACTGTGCCCTCCCCCTCCCCGCAGAAGCTCAGGGGAAAAGGACTGGGGAAGGGGCTGCAATTTGAGGGAGGGAGAAGCATTTCCTGAGATTTACCCATGAACCGCGCGGCACCGTTCCTGATTTCGGTCTGGGCGTGATGGAGGAATCCCAAGGCCTGGGATATGAAAATGTGGATATTATCATGGTTGTTCCGCATCTGCAGAGAAAAAAGGCATAGGAATTCACGGTGAAGAGGACGAGGTCACCCACTCAGCGATTCTCTGGGCCTCTCCCCCTCTTTCGATCTGGCACGGCTTCCCTGAGTCGCCATTCCTCTCTGTGGCCTGGCTGGGACGAGCTTTGGCGGTGTCCACCAGCCACACCGTCTCCTTTGGCGGCCTGGTTTCCTTGTTACCACTAACTCTCCCAAGCATAATTGCTTTCTCCAGTGGATTCCCCTGCGTGACGTGGCCAGAACGGTAGAGAGAGGACAATGGGAAAGAGCCAAATTGTGATTATAGGACTGCGGGATGCTGCAACCATTGGTAAATGCAAGCCACTAGCCAAGCACCACAAATGTGGTCTCGTGACCGGGGGGGGGGAGACGGTTGTTTGTTTCAGGGCAGTTGGATGGTCCCAAGGCGGTTGTAACTTCAAACAGTCATTAAGCCACTGCTTTTAAAGCCAGGACTGCCTACACTAACTTTGTCAATGACCTCCATTTGAAAAACAGCCACTGCCAAGCAACCCTTCACTGACCAAATATTTCCACACATTCACCAAGCAGCTCCGGATATCATCCCAGGCTAGACTGCGGAACATCAGCTTCAGGTGGGCCCACCCAAGGAAGACTCCGCAGTGCAAGAGAGTCAACTTGCAGCTCTGCAACCAGGAAGAAAGGGGGGGCAGGTGGGTGAGTTGCCCCCTGCAGAAGACCCCCAAAGCCATCTCAGCCTAAGATGGATCCTGCTGGGCACCGATCTAGCTGCCAAAGTCACCGACATCCCACCCCACAAACAACAGAAGTGGCCATCCTTTTCTAAACCTTGAATGCTTGTTAGAACCCTTGCTCCTCTTAGTGGCGGGACATGTTTGTGAGGCAGAAAGAGGAATGGCCTGCATCCAAACTCTCCTGTTTGCTCACTGTCTGCTCTTCCAAGGTAGCCGGACTTCCCTCTTCAGTTATTGTGTAACTGAAGCCAGGGTGTTGGCTTGTGACAATAAACTCCACCTGCAGACCATGTTTGTTGAACTTTGCTGTGCCCCCTTCAAATCCTCCAGTTCTACATTCATGTTGGCGCTACTGAACCCAGTTCAATCTTCACCCCCTCAGAAGGGCGCCCTCACTGGAGGCTTGATTTGTTCCTGGATTCAAGGCCACATAGGCAAGACTCTAGGATGGTTTGTGTCAGGGTCCTTTCTGCTTACACTGATGATAGTCAGTGTTTCAGAAGGGATCCTTCCTAGGCCAAGCTGGAGATACCGACTAGGACTGGAGCTCTGGAGCTTCAGCTGGAGAAACAGATATTCTACCCCTGAACTTTCACCCTTCCAAGGAGGGTGCGAAAGGACGGCCACCTCTGCAGGCATCTGAACTTGCCATGGCCACCGTGGTCTCCCGGTCTTTCAAATGGAGCAGCAGAGGGAGGAGGCTGTAGACCACTTCTTTCTTCAGTAGGGCTCTCTCCGTTTCCTTGGATCTCATCACCAGCTGCCCAAACAAGGAGATGGCGGTTGCCCGGACGTCCGCTCTTTCCTGATGGAGACACATAAAGCAAGAAGCTTGTGTGAAGTGGGTCTTGACAGTTTTTCTGTCATGGCAGCCCAGCTTTGATGCTCTTAGGAAACCCAAAGAATTTCACCTGACAGCAAAAGAGGAGAGAGATTTTAGTGGATTAACTTGGGATTGTTCAAGTTCTTTCAGGAACCACCACCCCCCCCCCAAAAAAACATTCCTCAATTCAAAATATAAATTTAGAAAATTGCCCTTACTGGCTTCAAACATCCTCCTCACTTTCAAGGTGAACATTCCAGAAATATAAGTGGTTTTTTTCCCTCCTGAATTTACCAGCCTCCAAGGGCTTGACCCCCTTGGGCTGATTCAGCAGGTGTTCTTATGTTTTTATGGAAGCCCCAACCCCATTTCTTCAAAACTTACATCCTCAAAAAATGAGCGGACGTTCAGAGCAAGGTCAACAGAGATGAGCCCAACTCCCTGGCCATCCATTTCATAGAGTGTGGTCATTAGGTCACTCAGCCCATCCAGAACATCTTCCTCACGTCCACTGAAAATAGAGTTGATCATTGTTGGAAGCTGGTCTCGCAGGGACTTCACCTGAGCAGACAAGAGGGAGGCAAACACAGATTTGAGAGGGAAATTTGCCGCGGTCTCAAATGGCGGAGGACAACGCCTGCCTGGGGGGAGGGGGACCAGGAGGGGGTCTTCCCTGCCTCTTCCTGCATTCCTCTTTGAGAAGAGAGAGCTCTGCAGATGGGGGTCTGCCAGTCCTGTGGCTTGCAAATCTGGCTTAATCTGCATCTAGGTGGCCAGTGCAATTGCCGGGCCTGGCAAGGCTGCGCAAGACTCCCGCCTCATCCCCATCAGGCATCGGGGGGGGGGGCTGTCTGTCCCCGGAGTTCGTGACTGGCGTGGTGGGTGGCCCAGTCCTGTGAGGTGAGCAGGACCGTAAAGACTCTGAGAGGACCGGTGGTGGCCGCTTTCAGGGGGAGGGAGCAGTCTGGCAGGGGTGAGTTGCCTTGTTGGACAAAAGAGGGGAGGAGACACAGGTTCCAGCCCACCCTGGCTCTCCAGGAGACCCTCAGCTGGTGATCCTCTCGGCCCAAACTACCACAGAGGGACCGCTCTGTAGGCCCCTTGACCCCCTGTGCAGAAGCAGGGATATGTAGCTCAGATCCCTCCCTCCCCTGCATTAGGGGCCGCTGCTTCCCCCTCCCACTGCCCCAGCCCCCCCCCCCCCGCCTTTCTGCTGCTGCTCTCAGAGGGGAAGGTGGCAGAGGCTTTCCAGGGCAGTGAAGCCCCAAAGGAGCAGGGAGGCCTCGGAGAGCCGCTGGCAGGAGAACAAGCCCCGAACCTCCTTGGCTGGGGCCTGCATTTAAGTCCCTCTCCGGACTGCTGAGGCTCCAGGGTGGGGTGCGTGGAGAAAGTATCCTCCTTTTTGAGTGAAGAATAAACTTTCTCAGCTTTTTTACACCTCGGGTTTTTTTTAATAGAAATTTTATTAATAATTAAAAAGAAAATAAAAACCAACTAACCTAATACAAAAAAGAAAAGGAGAAGAAAGAAAAAAGTCAAAAGTGCTAAAAAACAACAACAGAAGTCGTGTTCAACTTCTTTTTCAGCAGGTATTACGAGTACAAATTTCCCTCTTACTTTAGGGTTACAAAAAACAAACACTCTTTTTTGTATTATCTGTTTATTTCTAATCGTAAAAACAATGTCATGCTCCTTTTTTTCTGTTTCACGGAAAAGCCAAACAAAGTTTCCAATTAGCAATAAACATAGAAATTATCTTTTCTCTAATTACATTACAGAATCACATCAATTTGGCCATCTCAGCAAGTTCCATCATCTTCACCTAATTGTAAGTAAGGTCAAGTCTTTGCACTTTTGTGCATGTAATAATTTTGCTGCAGTTGTCAGGAAAAAAAGTCCCCCTGGTTTCAATTGTGGGTGAATCTTTAAAATTTTCTGCATTTTTATTTATTTATTTATTTATTTATTTAATTTATATCCCGCCCTTCTCCTTTTGGACTCCCTGGACCCGTAGGAGTCCTGGTTTTAGCTGGGGATTAATGTACAAACAGCTCAATTTATTTCTCTTTTTTTTAATTGATGAGATAAATTCTTCATACAAAGTTTTATAAATCAAATATTTACATTCTTCTTATATGAGTCTCTTGTAAGCAAATAACCTTTTGGTTTAATAATAATAATAATGATATTGATAATAATAATAATAATAATAATAATAATAATAATAATAATAATGATAATAGAGCTGGAAGGGACCTTGGAGGTCTTCTAGTTCAACCCCCTGCTCAGGCAGGAGACTCTATACCAGAGGTCCCCAACCTTTTTGGGCACCAGGGACCGGTTCCATGGAGAGGTGTTTTTCTGCGTACCGGAGGGTTTTTGGTTTTGCGTGCTGCCTGCATCCTGTGGATGGGCCTTTGCTTGCTTGTGCAGACCGGTTGCTGGCAGGCCACAGCTGGGTACTGGTCCACTGACCGGGGATTGGGGACCCCTGCCCTATATCATTTCAGACAAATTATTTTTCTCTTTTGAGGAGCATTTGCTCCAAATGTCTTCCGTGATCAAGCCAAAAACTTAGAAAAGTCACTTCCTGTGATACCACACTCTCTATCTTTCTTTTTAGCTGCCTGTTAAATCTTTTGTGATTTTTGTGCCTCTCCTGACATTTCCATTTGAGTCTCTTCCAAATCATTTTTAATTTTTTCTAAAAACTCATCTTCTGAAGTCAGTTAAATTCTCTGCTGTTTCAAAGTAAAAATCTTACCTTCCCAGTTTGTTCCATCTGAAGGAAATCTTTTTTTCTGTTTTATTTTTTTCAGTAAAAAGTATTTTTTTTTCTCTTGTGTAAAAGCCTAATAGAAATTTCCTTTAAAACAATTATATCTGTATTATCCATTTTCAGTCTCCCCTTAAAATGTTGCTGCAAAACTTGATCACTTGTTTTCATTTGGAGGAAATGCACTGAAACATCCCTTTGGACATTTCTTGTTTTGAAAAATTTGAAATTTATTCTATAAACCTAATCAACCTCTGCGTTAGTATCCTCCTTTTCTCACTCTTCCCAAAATTTGCTAAATTTTTAATAATCCTCTCTGTAATATCTCAATCTGAATTGCTTGAGATTTAGAACAATTCATTGTTCTAAATTCATTGAAACATATTAACTTACTACATATTTTCTGAACTAAATTTGGTGTTATTCCCTTTTCTGCAGGTAGCTCTAATGAACTCCACCTTCTTTCCATTCTTGAGGTTTTTCTTGTTTTTGCCATTTTAATATTATACTCCAAAGACAGAAGTAATTCACCCAGGGGGAAATAAGAAAACAAACTTCTCCCTTTTTTCCCTTTTTGATCTTTCTACCTCTTTAACATTTTCATCTCTGATGACACATTCCACAATTTCAAAATTGCATGTTGAATTCCATAGCTACATTGCATTTCACTTCTCCATAGTACCAAAGTATCAGAGTTTCATCTTTTTTTTGTAAAATCCGCCAATTATTTGCATGCTTTAGTTGTAAACAGAACACATTCCCAAGGTCTGATCTGTTTGTATAGGTTAAGTTTATACAAAATAACTTTTGCCAAAAATAAAAATAGTAAAGATTAAAAAAAGTTATTGCCTTCTTTGTCCATTTAAAATGTTCTTAAATCATATGTTAGTTAGGTTTTGGTTAAATATTCCTGAATTTTTAGATCTTAGATCTTGTTTTTATGTGTGTAATCCAGAAAAGCAGATACATCTATCAAAAGGGGTCTTTATCTTGCTGCAACTCTTTATCTGTAGGATTATTTAACTCCAAAAGTGACTAAGAAATGGGAATGGCTAGATTTAATATTCTCATGGGCTACACTGCAGTTGCAATTGAAGATGGAAACCTCTCACTCCCAGCTGCTCCACTCAGGAGCCAGTGGCAAAAACCTTTGCTTGTACATTCACTTCTGAGGAGCAGCCCTCCAGAGTACAAACGGGCTTATCTCAAAATCTTTCTTTGATCCAGAGAGATTTCTTTGATCAACATCTGCCCTCTGACTGGCAGTCTTGCCTGGAATATTGTCCCCCTTCGGAAAAGACTAATCCAGGGTCCCCTGGCCATGGCACAATACCAGGCCTTGAGCCTTTCAGAACTGGCTGCCGAAGAGGCAGGTGAGCACACGCACCCTCGGGCTTGCCCGCCACTCATGCAAAACCATCCCTCTCCTCCCCCCCCCCGTCCGCAAAGTGGGAAGGGGTGGGGAATTCTGGTCTAGTCCACCACTAATTCCACCCCAGGTTTCCCTTTGGAGGGCTTTCTGTTTCTTTCTGTTTCATGCCAGTCAGCTGCCTACCTCTCGGTCTCTACAGGATTTCTGCCACCTACCAAAAGCAGTTTCTCCCAGGAAGCTCATCTGGCTGGAGCAGGCTGTCCTGAAGGTACCTCGATGCCAAGCCACAGACTGCTTTACCAATAAAAATTAGCATTTTGAGCTGCACCCGGGAACCTTCTGGCACCAGCGCAGGGCCTGCAGAATGTTTGTAACCTATTCAAAGTTGTGAATGGCCTGTTCCTGATAAAGTTGACTCTCTCTGCGGGCGTAGCTCTTGCTGGGCTCAAGTGGTGTTATTTATTTATAGACAAACAAACACACTTATTGCCCTACCTCAGCCTTGTTATGTTGCTAGAGATACAACTGTTGTCACTGGCTGTAAGTGTGCTTTTGGTGTTTGCCATGCGGTTGGCGCTTCATGGATGCGGAGGGTTCTTGGCCTCCTCAGGCACCCAGATGGCCAGGCGGTCCCGGTCTTTTCACTTTCAGAGGTGCATCTTCTCCCACCAGCTATCATTCATTGTTCCTCTCGCTAGTGCGATGATGCTACTCTCACCAAAGGCAACCATGTGCCGATCGGGTTGCTAAGAGGGCTGATCAACAGCCTTTCTCTTTTTCAGTATTTGCATCTGAGCTTCATGCTCATATTTCTCTCAGATGTTGCATCTGCTGCCTGCCAGCGGCTCAGTGGTGCCTCTTGGAAAGTTTCCTTCTGGATGGTTTCTGATGGATGCGCTCTTCTCGTCTTCTGGCTCAGCAAATACATGCAGAAGGACATTGTGGCACCCAAGCTACTGTAGATGCCATTCAAAGAGATTGATTCGCTCTTGGAGTCTGGGTAGAAGCTTCTGGAATGCCTTATGTGCCAAGCTTCTGGTGCTTCTTCTCGGCCAAGGACTCAGAAGGGGGGTGCATCTCAGAGCCACCTTCTTTTCTCATATTTACAAACTGACACTATTTCTTCGGCTAGCACACATGGATACAAGTTTGTTTTGGTGTTTCCTGGCCCACTCGCCTTCTGGCCTGAGGACTCCCTGCCACTCATGCCATGGCAGTGGTCTTGGGGGGAATGGAGGGCCAACTGGAAAATTAAAATTTTACTGGGCAAAGTTTGTCAAGAGCCACAGTTGATGTAGCCTCAGGCTTTGCCTCTTGTATGGTTTCAGTTGAGAAATAGACCCCCAAAAGATTGTGGCTTGGCTTCACATGAAATGTTTGGTCACCCTCCTTGCACAACTCAAGGTTTGGACCTTCATTCCTTGGCCCTCATTACAGGAAATTATTTTTTTAATCCATGTATTTTGTCTCTGAGCAGGCAAATCCGGCCTCTTGTGAACTGCACCCGTACCTTTGGATCGTGAACTGCACCCGTGTCTACCAGGAGGTTGGGTTAGAGCCGATCCTTCTGGAAGGCCGCATCTTGCAGCCCAGCTGAGGTGGACCCTCCCAAGTGCCGTGAACCACCTATGCCTTTGGGAAGAGGGTTGAAGGATCACGTGGTCCGTCACACCCAAACACCTTTGGGTGCTGTTGCTTTCAGTGTTTAGGTGATTTATCTACCTCGCACTGTTGAGCTGACTGTGCTTGAGCACATGGAGATTCAGGAAATTAAGCAGATAAGTGTAAGTGAAAGATGTGCCTTTAAAAGATGTTTCTTGGAAAGTAATTATCAGAAAGCTTCTAATGCCCTTTCAGAAGGGAAGTGAATGCTTTGCCCTTATGTGCAAGTGAGAGAGTCACCTAGGCAGTGAGAAAGGGAATGAGAAGAAACCACGATGCTCTAGAAGGCAGGCTCTTCCTAGCAGGAAAAGTAAAACTTGAGGATTTTAGAGTTAAAAGTGTGCAGAGTTAATACCTGGCCTGGGTCACCCTCAGCGCTCCTGCCTTCTGAGCCAATCCATCTCAGACTCTGACCTGTGTGGCGCCCGGTGTTTGACCCCAGCAGGTCAGGAATCGCAGAGGGGCAATTTCTTGGGACAGCTCTTACCTTCCCTTGCTGGAAAACAAAACTGTTGAGCCCTTTCAGGCAGAGGTCTTGCACCGAGGGATTGGGTGCAGCCAGGCCCTCCTCCAGATGCTCCCGGAGGCTGAATCTGTTCATCATCTTGATGGCAGAGGAACTCTTGAGAAACTGAGGAAGTAAAAGGACCTCTTCTTTAGTGGCAAATGATTGTTCAGGGGACAGAAAGGCTAAACATGAACAGGCTCCGGGATATGGGAGGACATGTGTGTGTTGTGTGTGTGTTTGTGTGTGTGTGTGTGTGCGCGCGCGCGTGTGTGCATGTGCATGTGCATGCAGTCAACTGGAACAAGAGGGCAGCATCATCCACAAAGCTCCGCCTCGCTTGGTGGCTTTAGGACAAGAGACAACCTCCCCCCCCACCCCAGGCGAGTCCTCACCTCAATCACGAGCGCCAAGGCCGTCATCTTCTTCAGCTCATCCTCCTCACTGCTGAGAATGAGGGCAGCCTCCCCAAAGATTCCCGGGATCTGGGCACTGTTGCACTCAGTCATGGCCCTGCGTGATGGGACCTCAGAGTCAGAGGGGTGATGGCTGTGGTGTGAGAGGCAGAGGCCACTAGGGGGCAGCCAAGAGAACTGCCTGCCTCCTCGCCCCCCCCCCATCCCCCTTTCACGGGCAAGGCACCCTCGAGGGCCCCACCTGGCACCGGAGGAGGGTTTCCCTTGGTTGGTGCTCCTCGATTGGGGGGGGGAGAGGGTGACCCTGCTTGTCCTGTTGTGGCAGGGGAACTGGGAGGGGCCCAAGGAGAGCCCCACCAGCTCCACCGCCTGCCCCCCCACCAGCTTCCGAGTTGCTTGGAAGGAGGGGAAAAGGGCGCAACTCAGCTCACTTTTCACGTCTGGGCTGACTGAAGCAGATCATTTGCCCCGCTCCAGCCCAGGGGGAAGGGGGGGCTGCTGCACAGAGAAAGGGGCGCCCCCCAATCCCTGGAGGAGGGATCTGACCCCAGAGGCTCACCCGGACAGCGTGCCTGGGAAGAGAGGGAGGACGGCTGCTGACCCCTGGAGGGGGCAGCGCAGGACTTGGGGGTCCTGGGGGGGGAGGGGGGCACTCATGGCCAGGCCTCTTACCGTGCCAGCAGACGTGTGCCCTGCAAAAAGCGCTGGGGGTTGCTGAGCACCACCCAGCCTTGCTGGAACTCAATGCAGGCATAGACTGCCCAGTCCCCGGCCACAGAGAAGAGGCTCTTCACGATCTCCACTGAAGTGCTGCAGGTGGAAAACGGACGTCACTGGCGCTCTCCTCCTCCCTCGCGTGGGGCCTGGCCCTTCCCAAGGTGGAAGGGCTCCTTCTCTCTCGGAAGGAGCAGCTGTTCCAGCCCTGGCCTAAGACTCAGCCGCCGCCATCCGTGTGGGCCTACAAGGCTAGCCTCTTGCCCAGGAGCAGGCGAAAAGCAGCCCCCCCCCCGTTCCTTTGCTCTAGCCTCAGCCCTTTGCTCCGCTCGCCTGTTTGACGTTGGGGTTGATCTCAGGGTGGCCCGGAAAGACTGAGGAGGGGGCTGCTGAGGAGGGGCTTGTGAAAACAACAGCGTATGGGCCCAGACTTTCCACGGTCCCTTCTGCAAATCCGGCTGGTTGGACTTTGACAGAAAGACCTTCCTGTAGCCCCAAGAGGGCCCAGGACGTTTCGCCTCTCTTTAATTTTATGTTGCCATCGACCCTTTTTGACTCCTGCCTGCTGGTCCTTTTAACAAATATCCTGAACCGGACATCGGACTCGGCGCAGGCTCTGGGTGCTGAAATCCCCCTGGTTCTGAAGACGAGCCAAGGCGCCAGAGAAGGTTTGGTGTGTGCAGAATTAATGGCCGTCCATGCCTCTCTACCTGTGAGATATTTTTAAAAGGGGACCTGACATCCTATCCTACCTGGCAGGGCTGCAAGCACAGACATTCTGGCTGGCAGGGTGAGGACTGGCTCGTTTCTCGGCCTTTCCCCAGGGCAGTGAGCCAAAGCTCCCCCCCCCCGACTTTCCTTCCCAGCTGCCCTTGACTGCCTTTTTAGACTAGAAGTTGCTAACGACCCTAATGTTTGGCTTTAATTGCTAGAGGTTTTAGTAGCGATGTTATTATTAATGTCCATCCATAGTTGTAGCTTTTTATATTCTGCCAAGGGTGTTTTTCAAAAGTAACTAGGCTTTCTAGGTTTTTTCTTTGAAAACGTTTCATTTCCTTTGAACTGAAGAAGCTTCTTGAATGAGCAGTGAAATGTTTTCAAGAAAAAATTAAGAAAGTAGAGTTGACTTTTGAAAAGCACCTTTGGGATTTCCATCATTTATGGACCATCTACTGACCTCCAGCCACTCACTGACCCTTTGGATAGTCCCACTGACCCTTGGAGGTCAATACTGGCCCCTTTTGGATTCCTGGACTAGGGCCAGCAGGGAAGTTTCTGGGGGGGGGAGGGCAGGGAGATGCTATGCTGTCCTGAAGGTCAAAGCCCGACCTGCCCTTGCAGATCCTGCTCTGTCCCAGGGGGGGGTGGGGGGGGGAAGGGGCCACTGGTGCTGAGAGGTGTGACCCTCTTCCTTTTGGTACCTCTGGAAGGTGAGTGCTGTGGGGTTTTCCCTCAGGATGAGCTCCTGCCTGGTTTTCAAGGCCTCTGGCAAGTCCAGCTGCTTCACGTAGAGGACCTGCTTCAGGAGAGGGATGAAGAGCTGAAGGTGCATCTCGGCCAGGGCAGCCCGATAGCCGGGGAGGTGGAAGGTCTCGTAGATGACATTCATGGCCTGGCAGGGAGAAACGGGGAGACGCCACCCTCAGAGAAGGAGGATCCCGGGCAGCGACTCCTTTTTATCCTTGCTCCCCCTCCCCACTTGAGGGAGAGGGAGGGGGAAGGCCGTTACAGCTGGTCCTTCATGATCGCAATTGAGGCCAACCTTTCTGTGGCTAAGCAAGAGAGTTATTGAGTACATTTTGCTCCATTTTACGACCTTCCAGTGACACAGTTGTTATTTATTTAGAAGATTTTTGTGGCTGCCCAATAGGTTAGAGTAGAATAGAATAGAGTAGAGTAGAGTAGAGTAGAATAGAATAGAGTAGAATAGAATAGAATAGAATAGAATAGAATAGAATAGAATAGAATAGAATAGAATAGAATAGAATCTTGGTTACTTTAAATGTACACTAATCAGCATACATTAAAATGAAATTTCATTGCATTCAGCTCCCCCAAAATACTATTATGCATATACCCAGGTACACACACACATGACACAGAGAGAGAAATATCACAGTCTAGTTCGAATGTATACATATACATGGCAAAAAAAGAGAACCCTGTGAATTTACAAGACAGATGGCATAATAAGGAATAAAGCTGTTACAGAATCTAGTAGTTCTGCTGTAAATACTGCGAAACCTCCTTCCAGAGAGCAGCAGCAGAAACAGACCATGAAGTGGGTGTGCGGGGTCTCTAACAATGCTTGGAGCTCAAAGTACATATAGCGCTTAAAAGCAGTAACCTGAATCATCGGAATCGGGTTTCCTATAATCTTCTCGGCTGTCCTCACCACTCTCTGTGTGGACCTTCTGTCTGAGGCTCTGCTACCACTGAACCAGGCAGTGATGCAGTTTGTTAAGACGCTCCCTATCCTGCCTCTGTCAAAAGTGGCCAGGTCAGAAGGAGAACGATGTGCTCTCCTCATCAGATGCAGGAAATGCAAATGCTGGTTTGCACGCTTCACTAAAGATAATGTATGAAGAGACCAAGTCAGATTGTTAGTTATCTGCATCACCCAGGTACTTCATACTATTGACCACCTCCACAGCTGCAGCCTGGATACAAAGTGGAGTATGACTATGCCATCTCTTTCTAAAATCAACAATGTTCTCCTTTGTTTTATTAACATTCAAAACCAGGTTATTTTTACTGCAGTTGTTAAGTTAATAACATGGTTGTTAAAGTGAACCTGGCTTCCCCAATGGCTTTGCTTGTCAGAAGGTTGCAAGAGGTGGTCACGTGACCCTGGGATATTGCAACAGTCATAAATACATGCGAGTTGCCAAGTGTCCAAATTTTGATCACTTGACTAGGGCATGCAGCAATGGTCGTAAGTATGAAAAAGTCATGTCATTTTTTTCAGTGCCGTTGTAACTTTGAACAGTCATTAAATGAGTGGTTGTAAGTCGAGGATTCTCTATATCAAGATCAGAGGACCTAGCACCTTGAGGAACCCTGAGGAAATGTCTCCGACAGGCCCCACCCAATTCATCCAGCGATAAAGTGAGAGCGGGGGGTAGGTGGGGGCAGGGGTGGGGGGAAGCCAAGCACACAGTTGAACTGAAGGGAACCCGTCACTGAGCTGTCCCAGCAAAGGTCGTCCCGATCCGCCTGGTGTCGCTTCCTTAGCCTGGTCTAGTTGACCCTGGTCTCGAAGTCTCCCCACGCAGAGTTAGGATTCAGAGGGGTTTTCAGCAGGAACGTGCTGCAGATTGACTTGGACTGCGAGGGGTTTCCAGTGCTAGGAAGACGCTGGCCTTGGATGGGGAAGAACTGGCTTGGTCTCCACCCTGGCAAAGCTGAACGGGGGTGGCCTTTCGGGCTCCTGTCAGCTGGGACTTCCCCTGAAGCCTGGGCAGAGCAGGTGGCAGCCCCGGCCAGGCAGCCTGGGCACCGATTCCTCTCCTAGGCCGGGGAGACCTGCCGCTTACGATCACTCACGGTTCACTGTTTTCAGTGCTTGTTTTTACTACATTGTAGGTTTGCTGCCCAGGCTATAACAAATACATATTTTTTTAAAAAAAAAGTGTTGTAGTTATCATATTTTAACATGCACAATAGATTTATGGGGAAATCCTTTAAAGTTAATACTAATTTATGTTCCAAAGCTTTGGGGTTTGAGTATTTTTGAGGAGTTAATGTTTGTATCAATCCTGAAGTGCTGCAATTTTGAGAAAAGTGAAAAATAATAGCACTCCTGAGATGCATAATTTATTTAGTTTTGAAAAAACAATATTATCTATAATCAAAAATTGATACAATAAGTTCTCTTTTGGCATAAATGCTATGACTTTTGTAACAATACTGTATTATTACTTATTTTTTTAATGCAGATTTAGAAACTTTTAAGTATTTTGAATATTGAATGGATTTCTAATATGCATACATAGCTTCCTCCTTTTTGCTGCTTTTTCTTTGGGTTATTATAAGTTATACTTATATAATATATAGTACAGGTTACATAGTATATAGGTTACATAATACATGGTTATATTATAAGTTACTATTATCTCTCTCCTCCTTCTCTAACTTGAGAAAAAAGCATTAAAAAGGAGCCAAGGAAGCGGAGGGCAATGAATCCCTGGCTGCACCCGCCATCCTTTTCCATAAGGATTGCCAGCTGAGAGCCACGACCTGCAGAGCAGGCAAGGCTGTTGTCCCAATGGGGACAAGTGTGAGTGATCATTGTTGTCACCAGGACTTTGTGTAGCAAAAGCAACCCGTCCATCTGCATCTTCTCTGAGAGCTGCTGAAGATTGGCTGAGTTCCTAGCGAGGGAGACGGCTGGGCCCCAGAGAAGCTTTGATAGAGGCAAAAGGCAGGCAGGCAGGCAGGCTGCAGATCGGCACAAGGACATCCAACTTTATCCTGGCTCTGGGTAAGGGGAGCCCTTTAATGGAGTTTGGAGGAAAGGCCTGGAGGAGAAACCCCCCCCCCCCCAGATCCTGGAGCCTCCCCTGTACATGCCTATCCAAGTGAGATGCAAGGGGCACATCTGCAACATACAGTGTGCTGATTCACTGGCCAGTTTATTGCATGTTAAGGGTGAGATTTAGTTACTGCCTCAACTGAGATGGGAGTCTAGGCAGGGTTCAGAACAGAGGGCAATGGTAAAATGTAAGACAGTAATTAAAAAATATAATGAAAGCATAATTGTTGCCTTTCCCCCATGAGACAAGGAATGCCTTTGAGAGATATATACATTTTGTTCTAATCAGGAAGAGAAGCCTCCAGCAGGCCAGGCCAGGCCAGGTGGCTCAGGAGAGGGACCAGGAGGATGGGCGGCCCAGGAGGGGTGTCACCTACCGCCAGCGAGGTGGTTGCGCTGCTGCTGCCGCTGCCGTCTTCTCGGCCCCCAGGAGGGTCCTTCACCTGCAGATTCTTCAGTAAGAGGTGCAGGATTTGTACAGCCACCTTGGGGCTGGAAGCCATGGCTGCCCAGAGCTCATTGGCCTGTCTGGGAAATCAGCAACATGAGCGTGAACGTTGCAAATGGGGAGGGGTCTCAGAGGGGGAGATGGAGCCTGCGGGGGCCTACCTGTTGAGGGGTATGGAATAGGATAGGCAGCTCTCTACGACTTCCTCCAGGCGACATGGGATCATCAAGGTTAGAGCCCTCAGCACCACCTTCCGGGTCCAGCAGGAAGCACGGCCCGGCTGCAAGCACGTGTAGACGCCTGCAACCACATCGCTGACCTGCAGCCATGGAAGAAGAAAGGCTGAGCCGCGACACTCGGCTTCCCCGGGCTTGGGGGAGGCTACCTAAGCCATCCCTGCCCTCTTTCCATGGCAGGATTAGTTGAGGATGGGCATCCTTTCACGCTGCAGGGGACACAGCCTCGCCGGGACCCTTCGGGGTCAGTCCTGCAACCTTTGGGTCCTGCCCTACTTCGGACGGTGCCGGGGCATTTGCCACATGCGCACAGAGGATAAAAACGAGTGCCATGAAGATGATAAACAGGACCCAGAACCAGACCCAGTCAAGGCTGCTTCAGCTTCTCCAGGCAGGCCAGCTGAGGAAGGAGCGACCCGCAGACAACACCAGCCTCCCCTTCACTGAGACAGGGGCTGGTAGGCAAACCCTTGAAAGGTTGGCAGGGCTTCTCTTTCCCTCCCTCCCTCTGGCACCCAAGAAGGTCCAGGGAGCCTCCCAGGTTTCTTCCTTCCGCCACCCGTCTTTCCAGGGTAAACTGGTGTTTGCGTCCCATTTTCTTCCAGGCTCTCCCTGAATGCAGCTGCTTAGGTCACAGCCTAGAGGCCCCGGGTTCCAGACACAGAGCGTGGGCGATTCGCCTGCCTGCTTCTTCACCAGCGGCAAAAGGGCTGTTCTGTCAGGGTCACCCAGGAGATTATGCTGCAGGTTAGCAGGTGCCTCGTTTGGCACCCAAAGGCTGTTTGCTGCCACGGCTGCTCTGCCCGTCTGACCCCTTGAAATGTGCCACCAGTGGCCCTGGAGAGCCAGGGCAGGGGAGAGGCGAGGGAGCGGCATAAGGAGGCCTCAGCCATGGGAACTCGGAGAGCGAATTGGGTCAGTCCAGTCTCTCTCCACCCCTGATGCCCCTTTACAGGGCAGGAAAAAAGGGACATTTCCAGGTGAGCTTCTTTCTGGAGGAAACCCCTCACCCTTTCCACCTTCATGGCATGGCTCTGCAGAACTGCACTGAGGACCTCTTCTGCTGCCACCAGTACTTCTGGACCGGACCCTCTCAAGTAGTCCAGAACGGAGAGCAAGAGGTTGGTCAGCTGAACGGAGAAGAGCTGGTCACCGCAATGCTGCAAAGAGGAGCACAAAGTTTGGCAGTTGTCCATCGCCTCCCTTTCCCCAAAAGGACAGGGCCAGAGAGCTCCCAAGCAGTGCTGAGCCCTTCCTTCCTTCCTTCCTTCCTTCCTTCCTTCCTTCCTTCCTTCCTTCCTTCCTCCCTTCCCTTTCCTTTCCTTTCCTTTCCTTTCCTTTCCTTTCCCTCCTTCCTTACTTCAGAGTTTCTTCTGTGGGAGATTCAGGCGGCCAGGCGGGAGAGGATGGGGAACAGCCTGCAGGCCAGGTGAGACTTGGGATGGCTAAAGCCAGCCCTGACAAGATGGAATGGCTTTTACAACTGGTTGCAGCATCCTGCAGTCACGCAGTTGCAATTTGGGGCCATTTCTGCCTATTTCCAGCAAAAGAATGCCCATTGGGGAAGTTGGTTTTGCTTAATGAACATGGTGATTCACTTATGACTGCTGTACAAATTGACATAAAATCGGGCCTGACTGGAATTATGACTGCAATGGGTGGAAATTCTGGTCCCAAGTGCAGTCGTTAAGTCAGGGACTAGTTGTACACCATTTGGGGCTTGGAGTGAGCACTTTGCACCCATTGGAAAGAACCAGGGTACCATCGCTATCTGCCAACTGCCGCCCGGTGCTCGACCAGCAGGGCTGTCCTCTTCCTGGAATTTCACGCTCCTCTTCATCGTCCACTTCCGCTTCTTCTGCTTGCTTGTGCTCAGACCTGGAACAGAAGAGAGCAGTTCTCATTGTTATCACGCATGTCATTCAGGACTGGCCTGTGGGGTCCTTGGTGCTCCCTGAGCGGGCTGTTTCCTCCCAGAACCCCAAAAGATCAGCTGTGGAATCTGCCCCACGGACCCTCTGAGCAGCAGCAGCAGCAGCAGTGGAGAAGCCAGTGGGTCGATGGCTAATATTATAGACCTCACCTTTACGGTGCAGTAAGATCTCATAGAGACAGCTGACTCCTTGCACGGCAAAAGAACTAATGCACGGCACCCGGTCATTGCACAGACCAATCAAAAGGGCCGTCAGGTGGGCCAGCTTGCTAAATTCCCGAGAGAGCTAAGGAAACAATAGGGAGAAGTGGGACTAATTTACTGAAGGGGTTTGCAGATGTTTCTTAGCTAACTTGTGTGCGAGGCCGATTCTTGCTCTTCGTCAGAACAAACCCAGAACCTTCTGAAGCTGCGTCCCACACACCCACCGTGGACCATACCAAAAGTCTTCAAACAAGACTTCTGGGCTGTTGGGTGGGCAGGAGAAAGGTTAAAACGCCACGCCCACAGGCAGGCTTGGAGGGGAAGGGCCAGGCACTTCCCCTTCTCGGTGGCACAACCTGGCAAACATTCCAGCAGGGGCACAACTGGGCGGCAGTGCTGAAAGGGCAACAAGACGTTCCAGCAACAAGAAGATTGTTGTGTGATGTGTTCCACGCAGCACAGAATGCAAAAAGCTCAGTCCACACACGTGAAGCAAGGCAGGCACCAGGTTTTTCGTGTGGATCCAAAGATGCTGCTGGGGCACATCTTTGGGCAGGTCTCTACCCAGCTCCATCCCTGCTTGGCTGCAGCACATGGGAAATCGCCACCTGTGATCATATTTTGTTTCCTCACAAAGGCAGCTGATGGGATGCCTTCAGGCCCCAAGAAACTGGGCAATGAACTGAGCCTGCGCACAGCTCCTCTCGTGAAGTTCTTCCCCAGATACCTGGCTTGGCCGTGCGGCACACAGTCGGTCTGCTTCACAGAGGTGCCAGTCCTCATTTAACATAGGCAGGAAGTATAAACTCACCTTGCCCAAGGCCCCAGTGGGTGGGAGGGAAACGGGTCCAGACTGGCACGGCAGCTGATCTGCCTTCTCTCTCAACACGGGGGCCCTGCTGCTCTTTCAAGGAGCGTCCCCTGCTTATCAGAGGCTGTGCCCGAATGGCCATCGCATTTATTTTATATGGCCGCCTATGATATCATAATTCTAAGGGGCTCTCAAAAATCCACAAATGCCTGTCTAAAACTGAAAGCACCCTAGTCTCCCTAGTCTAGAAGGCTAAAGAAACAGGGGTCCTGTGGATCTCATGGTGGGAGCTGGGGCAGAAAGTCCCGTCAAGGGGTAACATTAAAGGGAGAGGGTCTGGAAGATGCCCACCTATTTAAGTTTGTAGTGTTTTTGTGGAAAAGCAAACACAATCCTTGTGTCTGTGTTCTGTACCATACGAAGGAAAACCCCCAGTCTCTCAAGGAGGGGAAGGTGAGCGGCTCAGATTACGGATACTCACGTCAAGGTGGAAGCGATCAGCTACAAACTTCAAGAGCTTCATTGCTGTCTCCACGGCTCTTTCGCGCACATGATCTAACTTTGACACCATCCATGGTTCTATAAGCTGTCAAAGGAAAGGCAGGCAGGAAAACAAGGCTGCTAATGTGAAGCCTGCAGGGCCAGCTCAAGGAAAGGCGGGCCCTGGCTCAGAGGAACACATTCTGGGGGGGGATGGCAAAATTGAAAAAAAACTTCCCCAAAAACATAAAACCATTCCCATTTTTATTGTTTTATAAATATTTAACGTTTATGATCTTAATGGTTTTAATGCTGTAAACTGCCCAGAGTTGCTTCGAAATGAGATGGGCGGCAAATAAATTTAATAAATAAATAACAAAAAAAAGGGGGGGGGAGTAGCAATGGTCTGTCCACTTGGGAGTTAAATGTAATTTTGCGGTGTAAATAAGGTGAATATATCCAAGGGAAAAAAACTGTCCTGGGCTGAAAACCTTAAGCGTAAAGCTCAAAAACCTGAGGGGGGGGGGGGAAAGGAAGGAAGGAAGCAAGAGGGTGCCTTTTCTGAAATTGCCCAAAGGTGCCAGAGTATGGCGGTGCCTCAGGCCCAGCGTGCCTGGAGCTGGCCCAGGTTGCGCCTTGACTCCACAGAACTGGTAAGGTTACGAGTGCCCCAAATACCCCGGGTCCCTCCAAGGACTCTGGGGCTTATATATCTCAATGAGGCTGTTCCTATGCAGGTATGAAGAATGTCACCAATAGCATTTCACTTCCCTGTGGATTTCTGCAAACAAGGTGTGGTCAAATGCCAGTTCTTTCAAACATTGCAGAAATCCTGAGGTACTAATTAAAAAGTTAAGGGTATTAAGCACTTCGACTGGAATCTGAAAGGGGTTCTGCAAAGGGCAGGGACTCCTTCCCTCCTTCCCAAGCCCTTGCCAGTGGCATCCACTCAGAGTGGACACTGGACTGCCCTGGGGTGCCTGTCTCTGCCTCCACACCTGGCCAGGTGCTTGACACCTGCTCTTTGGACTCGAGGGAAATGCCCGAACCTCCTTTCTGACAGTAAATTGCTGATACAAGAGGGAGGATTTCCTCAGAAGGCCCAAAGAAGACCAGAGGTAAATCTGATCTCACAGATTTTGTAGGCCCAATCCAGTTTTCTCCGGAGCTGCTATTGGTCAGAAAACCCAAAGAAATGCCTCTTTGCAAAGACCTCAGGAGTCATTTGGATCATCGGGTGGGGGCAGCAGTGCCAGCAGGGACAGAGGCAGCAGCAGCCCATAGTCTAGACAGCTTAAAAAGGGACCCATAACTCTCTGCCTGCAGCAGTCGTGCCCAGTGCCTGTGAGACTGGCAGATGGATTGACTGGCATCAGTTTGCGCAGCTGCCCATCCCACTAAAATGACTATCAGAGATGAAAACAATAGTGTCTAAAAATACACATCCAGGCTGACACAGACCAAATGACTCCCAAAGAAAGCTCCCCACTCTTACGCCAGGGATGCTCCGAAGGGGTCCTGACCCCTCCCAGAGGGTCACCCTTCAGGCACCAGCTTCTCTCTCTCTCTCTCTCTCTCTGCCTACCTCCATCATGTGCTTGAGTTCGCTGGGCTGCGGGTTCTCCAGGAGCAGAGCCTGCAGCATCTCCTCGAAGCAGCCGACGGTCTGCTGGTAGAAGGCCTGAGGCACAAGCGGGCCTGTGAGGCTAAGGCCACCACGGGAGGGGGAGCCGCCCCGGGCAGGCAAGCAAGGCAAAGCGTGCGCCTGGATACAACCCAAGGAATCCTCCCGCGCCCTGGAGAGCTCCCTGGGGCAGAACGGCTGCCAGCTGCAGCCCCCTTTTTCCTACACGTGAACGAACCTTTGCTTTCACCCCTCCTTCACCCCTGTCAGGTCAATTCATTTATTCAGCAGAGACCAGGACTTTTTTTGTGAGTGAGATTGCTCCCTAGATGCAGGAAATGAACCGGGCACTGGGGTGTTCAGACTGGGGCCAAACAGCACCCAGCACCCAAGTCGACTTCATGGGCTGCCTCCATGAGTCTCTGGGGAAAGACAGAGGGCACGGATCCTTCCACCCACCCCCCAGTTGCCACCCCCCTCCCCTACAGTACTTAGCCAAAGGCATCTCCATAACATAACCATGTCTTCCCCCTTTTTCCTGCTCCACTGTGCTTTATGAAATACTTCTATGTAAAGTTGGAAAAGAAATTTGGATGCTTATGCATAGACCTGCATCTTGTTAGGCCAGATTACCAAAGCAGAGACATAACTTCTGTGATAACTGTCATCCAGAAATAAAAACCCACTCTGGGAAATAAGGAGGCTTGGATAAGGCAGTCAAAGGATTCACCTTGGTATCCAACGTCTTCTCGTCTATGCAAGACTGTCCTTCCAGGATCTCCATTGGGGCCAAGCAAAAGACACTTTTGAAAGAGGCGTGGAGGAGGCTGGATTTCTTCTCTGGCTCAAGAAGAGGCTTCAGGTGGCTGATGGAACAGAAAACACCTGAGATTTAGCTGCCATGAGAAATGATGAAACACCGGACTTTGCCCAATGGATCATTACGGCATAGCTTTCAACTTCAAAATGAACACAAAGACAAATATGTTTGAATCCTGAGTCTGTAAAGGAGCCACACTCTTCACTCTGGAAACCCGGAAGCCTTCACAGATGAACTTCAAGGGTGGGATTCTACCCTTTTATCCTCAGCATGTTTTGAGAATGCATCAAGCCCCCCAGCAAGGGCTACTCACCAGGAAGGGCTCCCCTCCCAAAAGTCTAAAGGCAGGACAAGGAGAAAGAGCTGCCTCTCGCCCGGATCCAACACTAATTCTCCTCTGCCTTATTTCAGTCACGTCCCTGGTCATGTTCTGTCTACTGCCCCCACTTTCCCAGGCCTATCAGTGGAAAATAATCTGAAGCACTTTGGACCACCACCACCACCCCCGCCAACACTTCAAACTGCACAAGGGTTCATTTAGAAGGCACAGTAGACAGGAGAGCCCCCCCCCTCCTCCTCAATTCATGGCTGATTTACCATTTATTGGGAGGTCATCAATCTTGCACTGCATTTACTCCATTTAATTCATGTCTTATACTTCCATGATTATGAAATAAATGGATCAATTTATAATTTTACTGTTTTTCTTTGGCTTATTGCCAGCTTGTCCATTGTCTATGGAGATGCTCAGCCATCAAGGCTGTGGTTGTCTTGAAAAAGCACCTTTGAGACAGCTTGTCCATTGTTGCCAATTCTGGAGCAATTCAGGATAAAGAACACAAAAATGTTGCTCCTCTCCTCCCCCCACCCCCGGTTTTGACCTCCTAGGTGAGGTGCCATCTAGTCTGCTCAAAAGAAGCCGTCACGTTGTTATGCAGGGCGCTCTTGAATGTACAGAATGGCCGAAGTCATTCCCCACCGTCCCACCCCATGGGAGGTGAGCCCCCTGCTTCGCTACCTGAGTTCTTTAGCGATATACATCGCGTCTTGACGCACCGTGCTGCCCAGGAGGTGGATGGGTTCCCTCTCTATCAGCACCTGCCAGTCGTGGGAGAGACAGGAGGAGAGAGTGAGGGTCAGGCGGAGAGGCCCACTCACCTGGGTGGACTCCAGGGACCTGGAGACAAGCAGGGGACGTGGCCTCACTGGAAACTGAACTGCTCTGAAGAACCACCACTTTGCATTATGGAAGGGCCAAGGTCTTCACCAGGTGGGAGGTGCTCTTCTTCGCCGTCTCCCATCCGGCCACACACCTGTCATCAGTATGCATTTCCTCTCCAGGAGAAAACATACGGGGTGTGTGTGTGTGTCCCAGTTTGCAATCTGACACTCTGCTTTGGTTCTAGGTTGCCTCCGACTGCATACATGCATTCATGTTGCCAACTCCTGATGTTTGTGCTATGCAGTTCAACATGGATTACTTTCAAGATAGATGCATCTTTGAATACCTTCCCGCATTTTTAAAAGCTTTTCTATTACATTAGAAGCTCTGTCATTATTGAAAGCATTGAGGAATTTGGTAGAGAAATAGTTCTGAAATGATGACCCAGCAGGACATGGGTTGTGTAGTCTCTACTGTGTGCCTGCAGAAGTTTTGCCAGCCCACTCCACGCTGGATGTGTATTGGATAATAGCAATGGCACTTAAACTTATATACCAACCCATGGTGCTTTACAATGTTCTGTATTCTGCCCCCAACAATCTGGGTCTCCATTTTACCAACCTCGGAAGGATGGAAGGCTTGGTCAACCTTGAGCCCCATCAGGATCGAACTCCAGGCTGTGGGCAAAGCCGGCCTGCAATCCTGCATTCTAACCAGGGCAAGTCCCAGGATTTCTCAGCACGAAGTCAAGGCAGCCTACTTACTATTAGGCACTCCACGAGGCGTGCTTTCGGGTGCAGCCGTATCACCCCGGCTTTCCCCGTGGCCGCAATGGCTTCGAGGAGCATGAGCACAGCAATCAGGAAGCTCTTCTTCAGATTCAGGTCCTAAAGCCGAGAGCAGAAAATGGCTCAGGCGTCATTGTGGAAAAGCCTGATCAGGGAATCGCAGCAGGCGCACAGAGAAACTCAGCCAAGGCAGAATTTTCCAACTTGGCACCTTCAGAAGCGCGAGTGACTTCCCAGAAATGGTCCTGCTGGCTGGGGGACCCTGGAAGGCCGACCCACATTGCACAAAAAGTGTTGGTATTTTCCTCTTCCTGCGCAGAGGAACCTTGTGGCTCTGAGGAGGTGACTGTGTTGGAGGAGTTGCCCACCCCCCAACTCTGCATGGCTGGGTCATCGGGCTGGCAAGAGGGAGGAGGCGGAGGAAGGAGGAAGAGGAGGAGGAGGAGGAAGAGGTGCTAGGTGTGTGCACTGCTCTTTTAGGCCTGTTTTCCCCACTTTACTTCACTGTTCTGCCCCCCCCCCCCCGAAAGTGGGGATAGCAAATGGACTTTTTCCTCCCGTAGGCACACCAGAACGGGAGGCTTCTGGTGCAGCAGATTGAAATGTCAGCCGTTATAAACAGGAAACTTTACCCAGAATAAGAAAACAGACAAAGCCAAAGCCTAGGAACCACTGTCCTGGCCACCAAACGGCCCCGAGGTGCACCATCACAGCCCCGCCCAGCTCAAGAACCTCTTGCTTGCCCCGGCTGAGCTGGGCCGGGTCCCCCCCACCCCCCGGCGAGGCTCTCTTTCCCCATCGCCTTTTGGGTTAGGAGGAAGGTTTGCCGACCGAAGCGGTTCCCTGGCTCAAAGCCCGAACGTGTGCCCAGTACCGAGGGGTCAATCAGGAAGCAGTCGATGAGCCTGGTGACGATGAGCTCCACTCGCGGGAGGACCTCCTCCTTGATGCCCAGCGCCACTCGGCCATAGCAGAGCAGAAGCGTGTTCCGTTGGCAGAGCTGTGGGGAAGAAGGCCCAGACGTCCATCAGCATCCCTGGGAGGGCAAGGAGCCCCCACCCTCCTTGTCGAGGGCGGTAGCTGCCCTGGCGGCTCTGTGCCCAGAGGGACGGCACGAGCCCCACAGAGGGAACCGAGGACGGGCCCCGGGAGGTGCAGGGAGGGCAGAAGCCTGAGCGCCCCAGGAACGAGCTCATCTTACGAAAACAGGGCTTCTGTACCCACATTTATATCCCCCCAACAAGCGCTGTGAAGCTTTAACGAAAAAGGGGATTAGTGGTGTTTTGAGGATGGACGATGCTCTCTAACATTACCTGGCCAGTTTTGGACACAAAGGTCTCTGTGGTGGAAAGATTCCTGCCGAAACTGTCCAGTGCCTTAAAAACTTCATCCATGTGGCGAGAGGCAGCCAGGCCACAAGCAGCAGAGATGCCCTATGACAGAGGAGGAGGAGGAAAGGGGTGGGGGAAGCGGCAGTTAGGAAGAACTAAGCAGGCGCCCTGCTCCTCTGGGAAGGCTTCAGGCAGGGAAAGGCCCGTGGGATGTCTCCTGAGCGTCTCCTGAGCGACAGGGCAGGCAGGGAGGTGCTGCTCTGCTTCCAGTTTATCAATTCCACTGGAAGCAAGCAGCGTCCGAGGTGAGATCCTGGGGCCTGTCCCAAGCCAGGATAGGGCAACGAACTCGTGAGCCCCTCGCAGTCGTTAGCAGATAGCGCCACAGTGTCCTAAGTTGTCTGATTATACCATGCACTGGAACACCTCCAAAACTGCTAGTTTCTAATGAATTACCCATGGAAGCATGTAAAAAATCACTTTTGTTTTTTTTGCACAGTCTCCCAGGAAATAATTATTCTTAAGAAAATATCTTGTTTGGTAGGACTGGAAGTTCCCCTCTCCCCAGCTCTGCATGGCCCTACATTTTTTTAGGAAAACTTTTATTTATTTATTTGCTTATTTAGTTAGTTAGCTGCTTAATTCACTTTCATGATTCCAGGAAGCTTACAATAAAACAAATACAACACATAAAATACACAATATAAAAATAAAAAGATAGTAGCTGGGCATCATCCATTACAAGACCGCCTCCTACCAAACACCTCCCTTCGACCAGTCCGCTCCCACAGAGAGGGCCTCCTTAGGGTGCCGTCGGCCAGTCAATGCCGGCTGGCGACCCCCAGGGGGAGAGCCTTCTCTGTGGCAGCTCCTGCCCTCTGGAATGATCTACCCCCCGACCTACGTACAACTGCGGACCTGCGCCTTTTTCGCCGAGCCCTGAAAACCCATCTATTTCGTGCGGCCGGCCTGGCGCAGTCTTAATTAGGTTTTAGTATAGGTTTTTATATGGTGTATTTTAGAGCAGGCCTTTATTTATTTAATTTGATTTTAGAATATATATTTATTGTGATTTTTATTATCGCCTGTTCACCGCCCTGAGTCCCGTAAGGGAGATAGGGCGGTATACAAATCTAAATAAACATAAACATAAACATCATCCAACCAAACATTTATTTACTGTTTTGTTTTTTTTAAACCTTTACAAACTGAGTCTTCCATTAGGCCCTGGGCTGGCATAATTTGTGAACTCGCACAAGTAATAGGATTTAAAAATTCTTTTTATATTTCCCTGGAGGGATATGTTTTATTGGTTCCATTCTTTTTAATGACATCAAACTTACATAGTCTTGAACAGTTTATGATTAGGTAGCTTATAAATCAATCAAATCAAATCAAATTAAAAAATATTTCAAGCTAAAAATGACCAGATAAACAAGGAAGGATGGTGTGAAAATACCTATGAGTTTGTGAGATAGGAAATGAATACTGTTTCAAGAGACACAAGACAAAGAGAGAAAGAGAAGGAGAGGGGGGGCTGAGAATAATGGTTATGTAGATTCTATTATTTTAAACAATCCAACAGTCTTTCCAATCTACATGTCTCTGGAGATCCTCAGCCATCCAGTCCTGGTTGTCCCAAAGGTGCTTTTTCAGGAGGCAACTGGACTTCCTTGTTTTTCTTTGAAGACGTTTCGCTTCTCATCCAAGAAGCTTCTTCAGTTCTGACTGGATGGTGGGGAATGCAAAGAATATAAATCCTTTCATTCCTCACCATCCAGACAGAGCGGAAGAAACTTCTTGGATGAGAAGCGAAACATCCTCAAAGAAAAAGCATCTTTGGGACAACCACGACCTGAAAGACTGAGAATCTCCACAGACATTTAGTGATGCCCTTTGGGATAAACACCCTTCGAATGGTGTGGGAGTATGAACGAATTTTCAGGAAAATTGCAGAATATAGGAACCATTTGCGCTTCAGTTTGAGATGCAGACAACGCAGACTCATTCCCAACAACCTGCACCTGTGTTCAACGGTGAAGGGACACAGGGCAGAAAACATCCTGCAGAAAGCACAGCTCCAACTTCTCAGTGAAAGAATAAGACAGACTAATTTTACAATTGAGGTTTTGAAAGAGAGACCAGAACGCAAAATCCAAGAACTGAAATCACTTCTACCAACAGAAGTGTTAGAACAGGTCACAGAATTTACAAAGAAGGCACAACTAGCACAACACAACAAGAGCAAAGAAAGACAAAAAGGCAAATTTTCTACCCTACAGCTTAGACAAAAAAAAACACACAAAACAGAAGAACCAACCCAGATGGACAATGACATGTCTCAGAAAACTGACCAGTGGGTGAGAAATACCCAAACAGAAAATATTGTTTTAGCCAAAGGACTGAATTTTGCAGCAACACCAGAACAGCTACCAATTGTAGATCTCCTCACAGTTGCAGAGCCAGCCATTGGGAACAATAAATCGGCAGAACCAGAGGCGGAACAATTAAGGATGGTGTCAAAACACCCCCTCCCAACTTACAATTCAGGAAAGAAATTGAATTGAACTGAAGAAACCCAAACATCATCATCCTGCCAGCTGGTAAAGGAAGACGCACAACCATCCGGAACACAGATGACCACAAGGCCACGGTGAACACTCTTCTGCCACGTGCCAGGCTCCGAAGAGAGATCCCACCACCAGCAGCTACAAGAAAAAGGTCATTGATTTCTTGCAACAACAATGCCATCGACAAGCTACGATACTACACTCTTTACCCCGGGGAAGCCACGCCGTGCATATATGGATTCCCCAAAATCCACAAAGAGGAAACTCCACTCAGACCAGTGATGAGCAGCAGCAGCTCTGTCACCTCCTACAACATTGCAAAACATCTAACCGCCTTATTAGCTCCTCTAGTGGGCAACACCCATCACATCAACGATTCACAGGACTTCGCCAGCAAGGATTGGAAACTAAAACTGGACCCGGATGAGACCACGGCTTCCTGTGATGTGACTTCCCTCTTCACCTGCATTCCAACAACTGAAAATGTCACAGTAGTGAAGAAACGACTGCTACAAGACAGGTGACCTCAGGTGACACAACCCACCTCAGTCCAGACGATGCTGGACCTATGCCTGACCATTACCTATTTTAAATACAATGAAGGTTTCTACAGACAAAAACACGGTTGCACCATGCGCTCACCTGTGTCCCATGTCTACATGGAAGAGGTAGAAACCAGAGCCCTGAACTCCTTCTCAGGAACTCCACCCACTCACGGGTACGGGTAATGTGGACGAGATAGTTGGGTCAAGATGAAAACACAGGAATTGGAAGCATTCACCAAACATCAACTCTGTGGACAGATATGTCAAATTCACACCGGAAGATGTTAAGGAAAATAGTCTAGCCTTCCTGGGCTGTGCAGTACACATTAAGGAAGACAGAAGCCTTAACATTGAAGTTCACAGAAAACACCCCCCCATATACAGTAGATTAATATTTACATTTTGATTCCCACCACCCACTGGAGCACAAAATGGGAGTTACCAGACCCCTACACCACCGAGCTGAAGGCCTGCCTACCAGCAAACATGGGAAAGAAAAAGAACACGTCAAGGAGGCCCTCAGAACTTGTGGCTATCCCAAGTGGGCCTTCATCAAATCCCTCAAAAGACCCAGCAGGAGCTCCTCCATAATAGGCAAAGAAGAGAACAATAAACAAAGCAACATAGTCATTCCATACATTGCAGGAATATCAGAAAAGTTCATGAGGATCTTCGGCCAACACAATATACATGCACACTTCAGACCCAAGAATACACTAGGGCAGAAGCTTGTCCACCCCAAGGATCAAACACCAGACACAAACTGAGCAACGTGGTATATGCAGTACAATGCAGTGAGCCATGTGCAGATCTATACATTGGGGAAACAAAACAACCACTTCATAAACGCAGGCACAACATAGGAGGACAAACCCATCCAGCAGCCCATTTAAAAGACAAAGGCCACCTTTGTAGAAGACAGCAAAGTCCACATGCTGGACAGAGAGGACTGCCAATTTTCAGTGATAGGAATAAATGAAAGGTCTTCAAAATTTAAAATTGTAAGAGGAATTAATTGTAAGAGGAATTAGCTGTAAGAGGAAATAGCTAGCTTAAAGGTAAAACAAAACTAACTGAATAACAGGAAAACTAAAACTAACTGAATAATGGAAAATAACCTATTGTTCTAAAAATCCATAAAATAACTAAGAACTTGAAAACAAGTTAAAAGAGCATGCTCAATAGACTATTTAATATTATCTGACACACCTTGCATATATTGTCTACTCATTTAAATGCACAGGTAATGTATGATTTAGTATGTTTGGGGAGGGTAGCAGAAATATGTAGAAGGTGGTGGGAGAGAATGTAACCTCATAGTACCTCAGACGATGGGGAATGAGGAGGGATGGGCGACCGGAATGCATAAAGATGTTGATTTGATTTGATTTCATCTGTGAAGAAAACCAAGACTTGATGGCTTCTCTCCCCGCTTATTGCAATAAACGAAACAAGAGGCCCTCACTGTGTCTTGGCTGGTTATTGGTCAGGAGACTTTGCCTCTGGTTGTGAAGGAAAGAGGCCAGGAGCATATAACATCAGTGAAATAAATTTAAATACAAATCTAAGGACTTTTTTGTCTGGAGTAAACAGCAAACAGTGACTTTGATTTTAGAAAGTTACAAATGGACTAAGGATCCAGATAAATTTGAAATAATACTTTGGAATTTATTACAAAGAAGCCTTCCTGTGGGAAAATGCTTTTGTTTTGAATTCTTTAAAAAATAATCTGACTTTACTGTAGGATATTTTTGAACAATGGACTCAGAAATTAATTTTAAGAATGTCTGCTTAAATAGACAGATTGAGGTTAAAAGGGGTATGGAAGAGGAGCAAGTACAGTACTACCCCTTTTTCCTCTACTTCTGGAATTATCTGCGTCTATCTGCAACTTTGAAATTCTTCACCAACTCTGAAATGCATGGAAATTTTAAAAAGACGGCCATCTATCCTAGCAGCGCGGTCTTGCTGGGAAGCTCCTGCCCCCCCCCGAGGGAGCCCCCCCTGCACCGCCTCCCTCCTCAGCCTCGGCTTTCTCCTCCAGAGTCCCTTCTGCCAGGACCTGCTGAGCTGTTTTGCTTCTCTCCAGCTAGAGGCAGAAGGAGACCGAGGGTGGCAATTTGCCTACACATCAGGTAGCCGCCCTCTCACCTTTGCCTCGGGGGCTCCTCGCTGGCACATGGCCAGGAGGGTGAAGAGCTGGACCTGGATTAGCTGAGGGTCATCTGAGGCACGCAGGATGGCTCCGCAGTACTGATACAGGAAGATCTGCATAAGGAAGAAATAGCTGTAGCTCTCCAGCTCCACGGGGAAAGCTGGAACAAACTTCACTCTCTGTGTGTGTGTGTGTGTGCGCACACCCCTCCCCCAATATTATTGCAAATTCTGTCTGTGCTGTCATCTTCATTTTTCTGTGAAATAATAAGGGCTCCTACTTCAACACCTCCAGCTATTCCACACAAGCTATTGCTCCTGTGCCCAATAGGTTCCAGGGGCTCTCAGAGGACCAAGGCAGAGGAGGATTTCCCTTGACAACCCCCCCCCCACACACACACCGTTGTTCTTGGCACTTTCCCCCTTTTCTTTTGCATAGCCCCATCGCATTGCTCTTTCCTGCCCGCTTGTGGCTGTGCCGTATATGGTTAGGGAATTGTATTTTCTAACCTCCCCTGGGAATCTTTTATCCCAGGGATGAGGAACACAGTTGAGTGATGTAGCACTTGAGCCAGTCCTTCAGTTTGTGGCTTGGAGATGTTAGTTCAACCAGACTTACATTCAGATAATGGCAGCATAGCTAAGCCCACATTTTGACACTTTCTCTGCTAGAACCCCATGGAAGTCCTTATCACGTCAACCTACACAATCTCTGCCAACTTTCCCTGGTCAAATAATATCAGCAATATCAGGCTGGTTTGCTATGACTTCTTCCTCCTGATCTCATTCTGGCTCCTGCCAAAGAAGCATCCTTTCTTACCTGCTGACGGACTTCCAGCTTAATATAAGAGCGGAGATTTGAAGAAGAGGGCGGTGAAGTCGCTCTGAGGGCTCCCATGAGGGGTAGAGAGAGCCAAGCCGGTACAGAGGCCGGCCTCTAGCCCTGGGTTGGCAGGAGGGTGGCTGAGCGATAGGAAAAGGAGGGGACCCTCCTCAAGGGAGCCAAGAGGCTGGAATTGGGGCAGATCCATACTTCTGGGAGCTCTGGGTGGGTCAGTACATTGGGGTGGTGACGGGCATGGGATGGCATGGGATGATTTGATGGGAGACACAGCCCAGTCCAGTTTAACTGCTCCCGGGCCCTCTGAGCTCATCAGGCCAAGAGGTTGACTGCAGGTTGACAAAAGGACCATAAAGAGCACCAGAAAAGGATCTGGCTGCCTTGGTGGATCATTAGGGGAACGTGAGCCAACAGGGTCCAGCAGCTGCAAGAAAAAGAAACACCATCCTGGGGAGCATGAATTCAAGGACCGAGTGGAGCAGTCAGGGCAAGAAACAATGGGTTTAAATGGCAAAGAAGCCAGTTTTGGTGGGTCATGAGAAAGAACTGCTGAACAGAAGCCCTCCACCAGAGAATAGTCGGAGGCGGTTCAAGTCCTCTTCCCTGGACAAAGAAGTTGCACGGTCCCTCTTGGGGGCTGCAAGAGGCTGGCTAGGTGACCGAAAGCACCCCCGGACCCCCGTTCTGTGGTTTTAGGACAGAAGACAAAGAGATCTCCCCGCTCACCCGCTCAGGGCTTTGGGTGCTGCATTTCTGGTCCACTTTCCTCAGTGCTTGATTGAGCTCCTCAAAGCAAACTTTGTCGGTGACGTCAATTAAAAGTCGCTCTGCGAACTGTCGGCGGGACATGGAAGAAGCGGAGGGAGGGACATTCAGCTCAGCAGCCGAAGAGAAAGAGGGCAGCATTTCCAGAGAGGCAGAGACACTTCCTGGAAGCCGGCACCCAAGGCCCCCTTTCTCATTGCACTTTTCCTCCTCCTCCTCCTCCTCCTCCTCCTCCTCCTCCAAGGCACTGCAGTTGCCTGACCTGCTAAGGCTACAGAGTGGGACGGAGTGATACAATAAAATAATGTTTTTTCCTTTGCTTTGATGCACTATTGCCAAAGCACGTTTTGTTACAATCTAGCCTCCTCCCCCCCCTCCACTGCTCCAAGCTATTTTCCTGCCTTCCCTCCTCATGCCTTTCATAGGTTTCGTAAGTACCTAACACGATGTTAGTTGACCACAAGAAGCTAAAGCGGGAAGCAAGCATCTGACCAACACCGGTCACTGGGATAAATGCTTGTGCAAGTGGAGGAGCTTTGAAAGAGGGGGCTCATTTTATGAAGAGAGCACCAAGATGTGGCACGTGCCTTCTCTGCCATGCCCCCCCCGCCCCCTTACGGAACATCCTTCCCCCTGAAGTTGGATCAGCTCCACCCCTCCTGACGCTCCAGAAGGCCCTGGAGACCCTGCCGGGGTCTCCAGGGCCTTCAGGATATGGGTCTGAGTGGACAAAATAGGACCAGCAGCAATAGCCGCGAGGGAGCTGCTTTCAGCATTGCCACTGGAACGAGGCTGGACTAGGACTTTTTACTCCAGAGGAAGGGAGGGAAGCGCCAAGAGGCATCCTGACCCTGTGGGAACCAGGTCACACCCTAAGATCCATTTGCTGGGTTTTTCCTCTTTTTCTTACTATCTTTGGGTTCAGCCAGAGAATTTAGGGCGAAGCGCAATGCTGATCATCTGCTCCTTAAAGGGTTTCCTGCCCAAGCAACTCCGTTATTCTGTTATACCTGTTACATTGGCTTACAACCAAATATAAATTTCCAATTTCACTTCCGTTGCTTTGCTGGAAAAGCTCTCCAGCGGAACGTTTCCTGCCTTCTGTTTCTAGCTATTTCTTTTTCTTTTTTCCCCCCACCTCCGTGCAGATGTGTCTGAGGAGTGGCTTTTAAAGATTCGGCCTTGCAGCTGAAAGGCCTACACCTTCTACGCAGACCAGGTGTCAAGGTAGAAGAGCTCTCACCTTACCTCCACCAGCTTTCGTTCCCATACGTCAATCTTCACGGCGTCACTCTCTGTGAAAGCTGCGCACAAGACAGAAGGAATTACTGGCGAGGACCTGAGACCGGGGCACTCTGGACCATCGGCCGGGCCTGAGGAGATTTTCCACGGCATCATTAAGACAAGGAAACTTTGAGCACTGAAGCTCTGATCCGGTGGGCAGCGACCATTCTGGCAGGCTCCTTCTCCAGACTCTTGCCGGTTACGAACTGGGCCAGTCCCACTTTGGTCACTGCCTGGGAAGGTGAGGAATAAGGGCAGGGCTGACAGCCACAGGCCAGGGCAGCGCAGGGGGGGGGCAGGTGCAACTGGAGTTAATTGCCCCTTTCAGGGGACAAATGTGTGTGTGTGTGTGGGGGCAGATCTTGCCACTTGGTCTGGTGAGGGCAAAAGGTCAGTTCTTCTTTTCCCTTGGATGCCTGGATACCTGAGAATGGGGTGGTTGGAGGGCAATGTGGGTGGGGTGTAAATGCGGAGTGGAGGGGGCTCTGTCCCCCACGTTACAGATGCTGAATATTAGGCAGAAGCCCCCAAGTGCAGGTTTCATTGGTTATATCTGTTTTCTGTCTAGCATGGCATTAAAAAGGCTGTGTTGGGGTCCTTTGAGATGGGAAAGGGAGGGTGAAGGCTGGGGGAGGGGTGGATGAGGAGTGGGAGGGGATAGGCAGCTGTATCAGAAAGGTGATGGAAATCACTCTACCCAGACGGAGATGGTAGGAAACAGGAATGGCCGCTCTCAGAGAAACGGCACTGAAGCCACATCCCTGCGTCCTCTGCTCAGGCCCAGGGGGCTTCAGTGGCCCACGTCTTTGTTACTGATCTAACGGTTAAGGCTAGGAACTGGGAGACGTGAGTTCTAGTGCTGCCTTGGGCATAAAGACCTTGGGCCAATCACTTTCTCTTGGCAAGCCAGCTCTGAAAACCCTCACCAAGAAAATCGCAAGCAGGCAGTCTCTGAGAATTGGATATGATTGAAGGGAAGAAAAATAAATGCAAGATAGTCTGTAATAATTCTCACCTCTCGCACGCCTTAATCTTGGATGAGAGGGCTGACCTGGCATGCCTTGCTAAAATCTTGTTGGGCATTGGGGGTGGGGGGTGGGAAGAGTCCTGCTCCTGGTTTTTTCAGTGTTGCAGCTGCCACAGTTTTGGAGCAGGATGTGGTGGGATTATCTGGGAACCCACTGTGGCCTCCAGAGTTGCTGCTGTGTACATAACTGTATGTGGGACCATGTCTGGGGAGTTGGACTCCAGGGGTCAGATGGAATCACTGATAAAATACCAGCCTGCCTGCTATCGGGTGGCTTCCCTGCTGGAGCTCCTTGACGCTGTGCCCAGGTTGGCAGGGCAGTTCCAAGAAGGGTGGTCCAGGGCAGCCCGCTTCTCTGAACTCAGAGAACTTGCTTCAACTGGCTTTTCTGGACCCTGTTCTAACTGGGATTCAGGTGTTGTAATAGTACTGAGATGTCATAGGACACCTTTATGGGCCTCCCTCCTTAACTCTTTATGAAGAACACCACCCCACCCCACATAGTGTTGATGAGCACTCTGGTGTCTTTCCACAAATCCATCATGCCTGGATTAGGATGTTGTGCTGATGGTCATTCATGCCTCTGTCGTTTCCCTGTTGGATTACTGCAACGTGCTGTACTTAGGGCTGCACATAACAATCGTTTGGAAGCTTCAGTCAGTGCAGAATGTAGCAGCACCAAAGTTTGCCTAGATTGCACTGCTTTTGCATGATGGTCCCGTAGGCTTCAAGGTGCATTTTAAGGTGCCTCCTATAATCTTTAAGCCCCTGTAGTAGCCTGCAGGGCCCCCTGTCTCTTTCTGTCTCTCCCACGCCATGCTTTGGGGGTCCAGGGGGTGTGCCTTCTCGGTTGTGGTACCTGCCTTCTCGGTTGTGGTACCTGCCCTACCAAACAGCCTTTCCCCCTCACCCCAGCGATCTGTACACCCACAACACATCTTAACTTCTAGAAGGGGGCATTTCCACCAGGCATTAGGCCCACGATATTAGTGGAACCTGATATGTGTGCTTTTGTGCACTGAGTTGGTTGTGTGATGCCTCAAATTATTGTATCCACATTATTGGGGGAGGTAGGTTATTGTGCTTTTGCTTTTCTTTGTTTTATGAGGGATTTGTAATAGTGGGGTCTGCTTGCGGGAGGTGTACAGCATTGGTTGTTAGCTACCAAGAGTTACTCGGTAAGGTAGGTGGCCACGTACATTTTCCAAATAGACAAAATAGATGAGAAGCTCTGTTGGGCTGCATTAGGGCCTCGCTATATTTTGTGAAGTCTTCCCTCCCTCTGCTTTTGGGGCCCAGAGTTGTTCCCGGAGAGGTTCTGAGTTCAGGCTTGTCTCAATTTTTCTTAGGGCACCCCTTGCTCCAAAAGATAGGAAAGCTCTTTGAATCAAGGCCAACTTTCTTTCAATCATTCAGAAACAAGGTTGAAAAGCCTCTGGGAGACCCTACCTTTGTTTGCCAGTTTCCCCAACACACAGAGGATGCTGCGATATGGAATCAGCCTCCCTTGGAAGCCCTCCAAGAGCTTGGTGAGGACCTCGGCTGGGAAGTGGTTCCAAAGGGCCACCAGGATGTCACCCGCTGCGTCCTGATACAAGTCCTGAAGATCCTGCAGCAGGAAATGGGGCAGAAATGAGGGCCTCCTCCCTCTCCGCCTCTCTCTCCCCCCTCTCCCCCTCCCTCCCCCCTCTCTCTCTGTGCTAGCAATGGCTTCGCAGGGTGGCTTTCTTATCGCTTTACTGTCCAAATAGCTATAGCAATAGCACTTAGACTTACATACCGCCTCACAGGGCTTTACAGCCCTCGGTTTACAGAGTCAGCGTATTGCCCCCAACAATCTGGGTCCTCATTTTACCAACCTCAGAAGGATGGAAGGCTGAGTCAATCTTGAGCCAGTGAGGACTGAACTGCTGGCAGTGGGCAGAGTCAGCCTGCAGTGCTGCTCTTTAACCACTGCACCACCACGGCTCTTTTTTTAAAAGAACGAAGCTTCAGCAGAAGCTTTGTACCGGAGGTTTTCTGAGGGGCTTCAGCACAGACTTTCCTCCAAAGGAAGGACAGGAGACTGTCCAGTAATGAAATGTTCTCAAGCTCACAATATAACTTGAAACCATCAAAAATAAAAAATAATACAAATTAAGATGTTACACAGTATAAAAGCAGAATTGTATTCAGAGGAAACTGGGAGGCAGTGTAGCTCACACAACAATGCTGGACATGGGCAAATGGAAGGATGCACGAATTGCTGCACTTTAGACCAGTTGTAGGTCTTCAAGGGCAGCTCCATGTACAGTGTGTTGCAGTAATCCAAATGGAAAGCAACCCAAGTGAGAGTGACTGTGAGCAAGGTCTCCTGGTCCAGGAAAGGGAGCAATTGGTCCATAAGACAAGTCCACTCCCCAGCCACAGCTGGCCCTGCCTTTGGAGCAGGAGCCATGGTCCCAGGAACCAAACCACTCAGACTATTTCGTCTTGCCAGGATTGAATCGAAGTGAGTTCCTCACCATCCAAACCTTTGCAGACCCCAGACGCCCAGTCAGCATCCCTGCAGCATCCCCTATCCAGCCAGGGATGGAGATGTATAACTGGGTATCACCAGCACACCGGTGGCACTGCCCCTCATGCTGGCAAATTACCTCACCTGCTGGTTTCATGCCAATGTTAAAAAGGAGAAGAGCGGCACCTGAGCCCTGAGCAATCCTACTTTGCAGGAAGCCCTGTGGGACCCCATATGGCCTCTATCCTTCCGGTGGCACCGACTGAAAATAACCGTGGAGAAAAGAGTGGCCTCCCACTCCCAATCTCCAAAGCTGGTTCAGAAGGTCACCACGGCTGCTGGTATTGAAAGCTACTAAGAGATCCAGGAAAGCATGGACTGTTGCACCCCACCCCCATCCCAGCCTCTCCACGGGTCATTCACAAGCACAACTGATGCAGTCACGGGATCAGCCAGACTAAAATTAGAGAATTGGAAGAAGTATTCAAAGTCTTTAGTCCAACTCCCTAACCAGTGTAGGATGTGCTAGATCCTTGACAGATAACCACCCAGACCTTGTTCAAAGATCTCCAGTGATGAAGGATCTGCTATGACATGTAGCTACCTCTTTCATAGGCTGGCAGTTTGTATAGTCTGGAAGTTCCTCTTGCATCTAGTCTGAAATGCCTTCTTCATACTTTTATCTCATTACTTTTGGTTCTGCCCTCTTCTCTGTGACAAACATTTTGATAAGTGATAGAATCAATGGTTCAAAGGGACCTTGAAGGTCTTCCAATCCAACCCCTTGCCCAGCACAGGAACACTCGTGCCATTCTGGATCAGTGGCTGTCCATTCTCTCCTTGAAACCCTCCAGGGACGGAGCATCCACACTTCAGAAGGGGGACCGTTTCACTGTTTGATAGCTCCACAGTCAGGAAATTCCTCAAGGTGAAATTTGGGTCTGTCATGGGAAAGCTTCCACCCACCATCCCAGAGGCGCTTCTTTTTCAGGAGGCAACTGGGCTTTCTTGAAGACGTTTCACTTCTCATCCAAGAAGCTTCTTCAGCTCTGACTGGATGGTGGGGAATGGAGGGATTTACACTCCTTGCAGACATCTGGTCATTTTGCCTTCTGAGGGTCATTGAGGCCATTTGGAGGTTTTCTGTGTCCTCCGGGTCACCTGACTAGTGCAAATGCATGTGGAGCCTTCTGGCTGCAGGATATACACATTTGCACTACTCAGGTGACCCTGAGGACACAAAAACCTCCAAATAGCCCCAATAACTCTCTAAAAGAAGGGGGAGTGGGCATGGCCAGCACAAGTGGCGGTGAGTGCGGGGCAGCTGACAGTGTCTGGCAGCAGCTGCAGCCCACTGGCCCCTTCACACAGCGCAGGTAAGTCCGAGCGTGAAGGGACAGGCAGGCGATCTTGACGCACTGCACGCTTTTCACCCAGAGGGAGCCTGGAAGCTTCGTTTGCTTGCGAATGGGGGACTTGGAAACCCAGCGATTCGCTCCGTCTCCCAGTGCCCCGTTTGCAAGCAGATGAAGCTTCCAGTCCCCCTCTGGGCGAAAAGTGTTTGGGCGCCTATTTGGCATTTGGAAACGGAGCACTCCATTTCTGAACGCCCCATAGGCGCCCAAACACTTTTCGCCCAGATGGAGAAATATCCTGCAGCCAGACACTTTTCGCCCAGATGGAGAAATGATGGAGACTGCTTGTGAATGGGGCATTTGGAAATGGAGCAAATCGTTCGGTTTCTAAGTGCCCCATTTGCAAGCAGACGAAGCTTCCGGCCTCCCTCTGGGCGAAAAGTGCTTGGGCGCCTGTGGGGTGCTTGGCAGCTCCACCCCCTCCCCCACTTGCCTCGCCTCAAGGTGGCGACACAGTGCGGTGGGCCGCGTGGCCTCCTGCCCTGAAGTGGGCCAGCAGCCACGCGGGATCCTGCTGGATGGGGCTATTGGTGCCGCCACAGTGAGACAAGGCAGGCATCGGGGGGAAAATAATACATCCCCTGAAAATAAGACCTACTGCTTCTTTTGGAGGCAAAATAAAATAAAAATAAAAAAATAAGACCAGGTCTTATTTTGGGGAAAACGCGGTACCCAAAGGGAAGTGGGGAGCGAAGAGGGTCCTTACGGTGGTTCTTAGCATATCTTCAGCAGCCAACTTGATGATGACTTTGGCTAATTTGTGGTCTATATGACTGGCAGATCTGATCACAGCCTGCAGGATTTGGTTGATACGCAACCGGTGTTTTGGAGAGATCTGCAGAAATACAAAAGAAAACCAATATCATAGTTTGAAGTATGAAATTATGAGAAGGTGAGAAAAATGACTTCTTAGGAGAGTCTTTGTCATCCAGATCATGGTTGTTGCAAAGGTGCTTTTTTCCAAAGGGCAACTGGATTTTCTTGGTTTTTTTCCTTTGAAAATGTTGGTAAAAAGTTCTGAAGGAACTTCTTGGATGAGGTGAAAACTTTTTCAAAGAAAAAAACTCCAGATGCCTTTTGGAAAAAAAGCACCTTTGCATTGAGAAACACAATTTATTTCCAGATGAATATGCCAAATAATCTTGTATTTTGCATTTTGAATTTTAAGTCATATAATATGCCTTATTTTAATTGTGATGCTTCTGACACGAATAAAAAATGCTACTATTCAGCTTCTTATCATTAAAATGTTTCTCTCAGAAACACCTTTTGTTTTCACCTAGATGACGGGCCTTGGAAATGGTATTGGAAAAGGGGTGACTCGGCTGCCACCCCCAAACCTCTGGAACTCCTCCTCCCCTCTCAAGAGCCTTGGTCACGACATCCACGTGGGTCTGGCTCTCCTCTACTGACGCTGGACTCCAGCTTTCAGCAGGGGATCGTGGCCGGGGGTTTTGTGGCCAGCTCTGGCCGGTGCCCCAATTTGTGAACCGAGATGCCTTGGCAACTCTGACTTGCAGTCCTCCTTGCTCATAATCAGAGTACTCCGACACGCCCTGCTGGGGCGGCTGCCTCCGAAGGTGGCCCGGGAGATTACGTTGCTCCAAAAGGAGGTCGCCGGTACAGCGAAGAATGTCTACCTTATGGATGCTTTGAAGAATGTCTACCTTATGGATGCTATGGCGATATTTGCAAATGGCCTGCAAGACTCCGGCCAGTTTGGTCTCTGCCAAGGTGCATAAATTGTTGGTGGACTCTTGCACTTGGGGAGGGCCATTTTCTTCTCGGAGATTCCTCAAGTTGCAAAAGCAGACCTGCGATTCTGGTAAACAGAGAGGGGAAAAAAGGGTCAGCAACAGTGTTTGATAGTTTGATTCTGCAAGGCTCATCTAATACCTCTTCTAAGGGATAGCAGCTATTACATCTTAAGGTCAATGAATTCCACAGCAATGAAGAAAATATCTCTCCACACCAAGCATCATTTTTGTACTCTTCTCTAATTCACTTTCTAGTGCTACTCTTCCTCCAGCACGGTGAACTTCTTCACCGTGCTGGGTATGTGGGCTTCAGCCCTGAACAACATTCTCAGTTATTGCCATATTGGTCGGGCAACGCCAGAAGCTGAGGATGACTCTTGTTGTTACCTCTCTTGGGAAGTTTTTCCAGCCTCTTGGTCATTTCACTTAATCTTGTTTGGGTTTTCTTCAGCATTATCCAATCTTTCTGACTGTTCCTAAGAATGACACAATTTTCCAGCACCAGAAGTAGAGACTTACCAGTCCCACCAAACCTGCCTGAGTTTTAAGAAGAGCACGTGTGGATCTGTTCTCCTGCCCAGAGCCAGAGACAGGAGACTAAGACCATAAATACTGGGGAATGAGATGTTCTTGTTGGGGTTCCAGCAAGAATCTGTCTATCTATCTGCAGCAACAGTCAATGAGTTTACACGCTGCTCTTGGTGTGGCTTTAATGTCTTAGGTCTAAGGCAAAGTTCATTACCATTTTCATTCAGCTCTTCCTCCAGGGCGTCTGCCTTTTCTTTCTGCCAGGGACAATCTTTGCTTGAATTGTAGGTCTCCTCTCTCAAAGGGTGAGTGCGGACTCTGTTCTTCTGATGGCCCACTCTCTTGAAAACTGAGCAGATCCTAGAACAAAGTTGAGAAACAAAATGTTTTATGATTATATATTCTATATTATGTTTATATATATAATGAAATGCCTCTGAGCCAGTATTGACTCCTGGTGACTGCCCAGACCGATCCCTGCAGTTTCCTTGCCAAGGTTTTCTGGAGTTGGTTTGCCACTGCCTTCCTATTCCCGGGGCTGGGAGGGATTGGCCCAAGTCACCCAACTGGCTTTGCGCCTAAGGCAGGAATAGAGCCGACAGACTCCTGCTTCCTAGCCTGCAATGCTTTTTAACCACTACACCAACTCAGCTCTAGAAAGAGTGCAGAGAAGAGCAACAAAGATGATTAGGGAACTGGATGCTAAAACATATAAATAGTGGTTGCAGGAACTGGGTATCTCTAGTTTAATGAAAAAAAAGGGATCAAGAGTGGTTTAACTCAGGCAGGGAGCTCTTCTCTTTCCTCCTGGGCCCACTTTCCTTCTTCATTCTCCTGGCTCCCCAGTCTGAAGCTCCTCATCGCATAAGCCAGAAGGCCAGCAAAGAGGCTTGCGGGGGGTGGGGGGGGGAGAAAGTTTGCTAGAAGCCCCTTGGAATCAGGTGAGGTATCAGCAGGGAAGGAAATAACTGATGAGAAACAGAAGCTATGCTGTCTTTGCTTCATCCCCTGAGAAAGAAACAACTTCACAAGAGCTGATTTCGACTAAAGGAAAGGATTTTATTTTCACAAATCAACCAATTATTGTTTAATAATTATAGTTACTTGGTAGTAAGGTAAACAAGAAGATTATATGTATAACCGATTTGATAAAAGTGCATGTAAATTTTGTCTTCCCTGAGAGAGAGAGACACCCGTGGTCCCAATACAATAAAACAGCTTCCAAGCACTCTCGGTTATTGCTCTGAGGTCAGATTGAGGTAAAAACATTTGCTCCCTTACAGGTACAGCGTCTTCCTTCCTTCCTTTCAAATGAGCAGGCCGCGTTCCAGGAGGCGATCCCTCTGCCCTGCCCCTGCCCTCCGGGTCCTCTCCCTCCTCTCCAGCCTTCTCGCTTACCTTCTACAGAGAGTCATGTTCTCTGGCAAATTTTGTCATCTGCCTTAACCCAGCTGACATTTCCCAGATCTCTGAGGGCAACTCAGTTCTCCAACTCCCTCCAAGGTACTATGGGTCATATGTGACATCACAATCACACACTGCATTCACTCCAGGCAAGGGCAGTGATGGAAGTGGCCCAGAAGGCAGCAGCTGCAGCTGATCGAGCCGGCCCACAAGGCTGGTCAGAGGCCTTCCTGTCCTTCAGAAAGCCAGAGAAATTTCTTTCCTTGATGCTCTCAGGTGTAATTATTTTCATTCCGTGGTACCAACCACCAGGCCTCTCTCTTTGCGGTCCCAGGGTGGGAGCAGTCCAAACTGTTTGATTAAGAGCATTTAAAAGGAATGAAGCGTCCATGCGAAGCCCCAAGGCGCATCTGATAGCAGTGCAAAAGGAAAAAAAGGAACACAGGGGAGGAAGCACCTTTATTCGCAATATACACTTCAGGGTCGTTTTCGGAGGCCGATCCACCACTTCCGCTGTCTTCCGAGGCCCTGGAAGCTGGTTTCAAAAATGCAGAGTTAAAGGTACATGTCTTGATACAGATATTAATATATTTTGATTTGGCGTCTACCCTCTTCAACAAAAGTTTTGGAAAGAAAACTTCTCATTTTAGATGATTTTGACCTATTTTGATCATTTTTAACTGTTTTAAACCATTTAAAATGTTTTCATCATGTATGAACAATTTTTGCCTGAGGTGACCTGTTTTAATTTATATCGACCACTTTTGTAGTCTCTTGATGCATTTTGCCTTTTTTGACCTTTTTTGACCATTTTTAACCATTTTTGCCCTTTTGTGATGGTTTTTGCCTTTTTGCCTTTTTTGACATTTTGTTCACATTTTGACCCTTTTGATGTATGTTGACCTTCATTGAACTATGTTTACTTTTTTGACTTTTCATTTACGTTGATCTAATTTAGCCATTGTTGGCCTAAATTGACCTCTGTTGTCCTCAGTTGATCTTGGTTGACCATGGTTCCCTCCCGATTGACCACTGTTGACCGCAGTTGACCTCTGTAGACCAATAATAATAATAATAATAATAATAATAATTTAATTTATATACCGCCCTTCTCCCGTAGGACTCAGGGCGGTGCACAGCATATTAAAACAGATACAAACAAAATACATCAAAAAACAAAAAAACCCCATAAAACCAAATTAAAAGCCAAATATTGGAAGCTGTGTGTCAATTAAAATTTTCTTAAAATCATCCCTACCTNTCTTGAGGGCGCGGCGGAAAGTAAGGAGATCCGGAATCATCCGGATCTCGGGGGGTAGTTCGTTCCAGAGGGTGGGGGCACCCACAGAGAAGGCCCTCCCCCTGGGGGTCGCCAGCCTACATTGCTTGGCCGACGGCACCCTGAGGAGGCCCGCTCTGTGGGAGCGTACCGGTCTATGGGAGGGAATCTGTGGCAGAATGTTGACTTTGGTTGACCAATGTTGACTATGGTTGACTATGATTGAGTATGGTTGATCTATATTGACTACTGTTGACCTCTATTGACCAATGCTGACCACGGAGGACCTCTGTTGACCATGGTTGACCAGTGTTGATCATGGTTGACCACTGTGGAACAGTTGACTAGGATTGACCAATGTTGACCAGGGCTCACCTCTCTTGACCTCTGTTGACCCTGGTTCACCAAAGTTGAGTATGGTCGACCTATGTTGACTACTGTTGACCTCTGTTGACTAATGTTGACCTCTGTGGACCACTGTTAACCACTGTTGACCAGAGTTGACCAGGGTTGACCAAATTCACCACGGTTGGCTATGGTTAACCTCTGTTGACCAATGCTGACTGGGGTTGAACAATGCTGACCACAGTTTATCACTGTGGACCATGGTTGAAATCTGTTGACCAATGTTGACTTCTGTTAACCAATGTTGACTTCGGTTGACCACAGTTGATCTATGTTTACCACTGTTGACCTTTGTGGATTACTATGGATCTCTGCTGAGCTCTGTTAACCTCTATTAAACAATGATGACTTCAATTCATCACAGTTGAGTATAGCTGACAACTGTTGTCTAGTGCTGACCATGATTGACCATGGTTAACCAATGTTGAACTGTGTTAACTAATGTTAACTTTGGTTGACCACAGTTGATATATGTTGACCACTATTGATGTTTGTTGACCACTGTTGACAACTATGGAAAAAAAACTGGTCTGAATCACCAACGTAAAGCATGGTCCAAATCACCTATGGAAGGGGAGTGAGGTAGCATCTTTGTTTCCCATGCTAAACAATAACACATTCCTCCTGCTTCTCCATATCTGTCTTCTGCTTCAGGTTCTTTCTTCTATTTTTCTGCTTCTCCTTTTGCTTATATCTTCTGCTTCTTTCTCTTTTGTATCTATCTTCTTTTGCTTCTGCTTTTTCTGTTTCTATCTGTTGTCTTCTGCTTCTGTCTTCCACTTCTGTCTATGTTCTTTTACCTGTATCGTTCTCTTCTATCTTTTGCTTCAGTTTTCTGTTTGGCTGGATGTCAGCAGTTACTTCTAGGGGAGGAAACCCCAATTTTAACCAATCTTAATGTAAACCTAAAGTAAATTCAATAAAATGTATAATATCCCTGCTCTTAGAGGCTGCAGAATCAGCAGCCCAGGTTGCCTACTCCTGAGATAGAGTATACCATAATCTTAAAACACCCGTCCCACAGCATTACCATCGAGGCCACGGTAGGCCTTTTTGACGGCCTCAACGCCGCTCTCGCTAAGGGAGGGAAAACAGTGCTGCCCTCCCGTGGCCCAAGCCGGGTATAGCAGCCCCCAAAAGAAATAAATCTTTAAAATGGCCAAAGGGCCTCCCATCGCTCTATTAATATTAATAAGGGGTTAATAATAAAGACAGGGGAGAAAATAAATAGCCTTAAAATACCATTTAAAAGGTTTATTTGTTTCGGCGACCGCAATACCCGTTTTTGACCACAGGGGGGCAGGGTTTCCCATCCCATAGCATTAACATCGAGGCGGTCGTAGGCCTTTTGCCCAGGAACGGGACACCGAGAAGCAAAGCCCCAAAACGCAGAGCGTCGGCCAAAGCGTGGCCACTCTATGCTCCTCCGAAAGGGACGGGCCGTTTTCCTCGGCCTTGTGCGCATGGCCGCCGTTCGTTTCTCATAAGTAATCTCCCAGAGGACTTTTCGACACGGCGGACTTCCTGTCCTTCGTTCTTAATATTTCCCCCAACTTCTTTTAGCGGAGACCTTCTCAGCACGGCGGACTTCCTGTCCGCTCAAATAAGCCGTCCGCCAGGGCCTTTAAAATGCGACCTTCCCATCATGGCCGACGTCCGGTCCGTTCTTCTTAGTCATCCTCCAACTTCCTTTTACGGAGATCTGGGTACGTCGGACTTTACGTCCCATCAACGAGTTAGGCCGTAGACTTAAAACGCCATTCAAAAGGCTTATTTCACTCGGCGGCGAAAATTCCCTCTTTGACGACAGGATGGCATTTTTTAGTTCATTAGGATTAGCATCGAGGCGATCTTAGGTCGCTGGAACGCCGCTCTCGGTAAGGGACAGAAAAGAGCGCCCTCCCGCGGTCCAAGGCAGTTATAGCAGCCACCAAAAGAAATAAACCTTTTAAAGGGGATTTGGAAATTATATTTTTTTTCGTCAACGGAAGGCGTTTCCGACGGTCTCAAGTATATGTGGAAAACAGCGCCGCTTCGTGGATAAAGCAGGAAGCACGGACGTCAAGAGAAATACAGTACACAAGGCTTCCAGATTTCCAACTAACCAGAGGGACGCAACGGCGTGGGGGTAAGGAAACCGTCTAACATGCCGTGAGTCGGGGTTCGAATCCCTTCAATTCTTTGTTTTCCTTGTTGGGAAATTGGAAAATGAGATATA